CTGATCTGGCACCTTAAAGTTGGGGGTTAATTTGTAATTTTTACTTGATGTTTATATATTACTGTACATAGCGCCAGAATACGATGCAGTATATTGCAGGTACACTATCAATATTCCTGTCCTCCTGTAGATGTTATCTTAAACCTAGCTTCTTCTTTTCTTTCCCTTTCTTTTTAACAACATCAATACTTCTGTCTTTCCATGTGCTTTTACGGAGTTTGATTGGGCGGTTGCCAACATATTTCCCTAAAGAAATAATTTCTCATAAGTTTCGTAGGTAGTGCATGCTATATTTTACATTAATCGTTGAGCTAACGATCTAGCCTTATGTGGAGTTGAAATGACACTTTCGATGTAGGGCTATTTGGTTCACTAAGACAATGTCCAATCTGTCCGGTACCAGGACATTTTGCCGAAAGACACTTTGCCGAAAGACATTTTGCCGAACGGGCATTTTGCCGACGGACGTTTTGCCGAACGGACGTTTTGCCGAACGGACATTTTGCCGAATGGAGAGTTTGCCGAAAGGACAACTTGCCGAAAATAGAGATGCTATTTCGTCAAAATGTTTGGGACTGTGCCTCATTTCTCAACTTTGTAATTCTCAAACATTGTGTAAAATAACCATTATATGGTCATTAGCAGAGCATAATTGGTCGTTAGCAGTACATAACCATATTGATTATTGGTAGCTTGTTTGTGCAGCGGATGACTCATTTGTTAGGAACGTGTTTTGACGTCAGGTCGTAAACAAACAAGCGTATTACTATACAAAGACAACGACGTAAAGCGAATTTCACTTCGAGAATCATGGAATATATTCACATTCATCAATGATGTTGAATGATGTTATTCTCGACTCGGAACTAAAATTTGGAATGGTATCCCTAATGAATTACGGAACCGACGTAAATGTATTTTTAAAACAAAAATAAATGCAATACTTTTCCAGGTCTTGGAAAGCGAGGATGTTTATGTTGATGTCACTACGATAATATCAAAGATATAAATGTTTCTTTTCTTTTCTTTCTATTTTGCACAATAATGTATCTTTTCGACACTGACTATGTACTATAAAATATATATTCTAATCAACACTATACCCGCCTAGATTAGTTTTTAACTACTTGCGGGTTAGTGTAGTGTGTAACTTGTTTGTTTTTAACTTGTAATAAATTGAAATTGAAAAAAAAAAATTGAATTGAAATTCTTTATATCGCGAAATTTCGGTAAACTTGTCAAAAAACTTGAAAGAATATAAAACGAAACTATACTTCACTATCAAAGTTTCTGTCGTCAAAATCGACAACGACTTTAATCACAGAAATTTTGACCGTGTAAGCGAACCTATAAACTTCAGAAGATATCTCTATTTTCGGCAAACTGTCCGTTCGGCAAACTGTCCGTTCGGCAAAACATCCGTTCGGCAAAACGTCCGTCGGCAAAATGTCCGTTCGGCAAAATGTCTTTCGGCAAAGTGTCTTTCGGCAAACTGTCCGGCCACCAATCTGTCCAAATAAGCAATACTCATCATACCTAACTTTTCGCGCTCAATGTCTGAGGTTTACTCTCGATTTGAATTTACTTTTGAAATCTGACTTCCAATGTTTATTTGTAAGTTCAAAATGTTCGTTGCAAAGTTCCGAAGTTTGTTTCGAAGTTCGTTGCGATGATTTCCGATGGTCAAGTTTAGTAAGTTGTAATCGGCTAGTTAAATGAACCAGCCAATCAAATCGCCTCCTATTGAATCATGTATGAAATTCAAAACGAATTTCAAAACATTGCAACGAACATTCCGAAGTTACAAACAGACATTCAAAGTCAGATTTTAAAAGCAAATTGAAATCGAGAGTAAGACGTAGAATATCATTCTCATGTATGAGTATTAATTAAAAAAAAAATAAAAAATACAAAAAAACCCCAACCATGGCCTATCGGAGGGGAGATGGCTGTGAAACTCATTAGAATAACAATATAACTCGTCATCTGTGTTAGTCAACGTTTATTCATAAATATGGTCCTTCACCGTCACGTGTGTATTGTATTTCTGCCAAATCCACCAATAGCAATTTCCAGTTTCCCTATTGTCCACTTATGAGGATCCGTTGATTCTGGCGAACGAATTTGGAACATTTTTCGGTCGAAAGATTGAACTTATCAATGACGAAATTAATAAGATTGGTGTTAATCCGATAACTACTGAACATCGTTTACCTGAAGTATTGCTTAAATCCTTTTCTCCTGTGTCGCAAGATGATATACGAGGAGTTATTTCGAAAGCATCAATTGCCTCTTGTCAACTTGATCCAATACCAACTTATTTGCTTAAGGATTGCTGTGATGTTCTGTGTCCGATAATTACAAAAATGATCAACATGTCGCTGGAGAAAGGAATAGTTCCTGAAAATTGGCACTTGTAGATCCCCGTCTTAAGAAACTTGGTATGGATTTAGTGTTTGAAAATTTTAGACCTGTTAATAATCTTCATTTTCTTGCAAAGGTAGCTGAGAAAGTTGTCATGTCGCAATTAGTTAATCACTGTAACGAAAATGCACCACTGCCTGTCAGTCAATCAGCATATCGTCAGTTCCATTCAACTGAAACTGCGCTGCTCAAAGTGCAGAATGACATACTTATTAATATGGACAACGAAGAGGTTACGTTGCTTGTTATGCTCGACATGAGTGCTGCCTTTGACACTATAGACCATAATATTCTTATTGATATCCTCAAGAATGATTTTGGAGTAGTGGACAGCGCACTTCAGTGGTTTAGATCGTATCTGGCTAATAGAAAGCAGCAAGTTGTCATTGATCGGTGCAAGTCCTCCGAGTTTATGGTTGCTACTGGAGTTCCCCAGGGCGGCTGCCTGGGTCCAGTTCTATTTTTACTTTACGTGTCTGGCCTTTCTGAGATTATTTCTAAACATCTGCCTTGTCATCATGCTTTCGCAGATGACACACAATTGTATCTTTCTTTTAAACCTCAGAACTCATTGCATCAGGAGTCAGCTGTTAAAGCAATGGAAGATTGTATTGATGAGCTTCGAAACTGGATGACTGCACATCGTCTTTTTATTCAAAGTAGCAAGACAGAATTTATTATTATTGGCTCTCGTCAGCAATTATCCAAGGTATCGATTGACAAATTGAGGGTAGGAGAAGTATTGATTTCTCCAGTAGGCGCTGTTCGTGATCTTGGGTCTTGGTTAGATACTCACATGTCCATGCATTTGCATATTAGCAAAATCTGCAGCAAGGCCTTTCGAAGCCTTTACCATATCAAACAAATCAGGAAATACTTAAATCCCATTTGGATTATTGCAATTCTTTGCTGTATGGAATTCCATAATATCAATTAAATCGATTGCAGAAAGTGCTAAACGCTGCTGCTCGTGTTGTATGTCTTGTACCTAAGTTTGATCATATTACACCTACATTAATGAGTCTGCATTGGTTACCGGTTCAATATCGTGTTATATTCACGATCGTACTCTTGGTTTATAAAGCTCTGCATGGATTGGCTCCCAAATATATTTGTGACATGTTGACTTATAAACAAAGTAATAACTACTCTTTGAGATCGGACGAACTAGGGCTTCTTCATGTTCCAAGCACACGTAGAAACTAAGTCTTTTGGTGATCGTGCCTTTTTGAAAGCAGAACCTACTCTATGGAACTTAGTACCGTGTGAGATTAGGCTTTCACCTTCGTTGGATTCTTTTAAGACAAATCTTAAGACATTTTTGTATAGAGATGCGTACATTAATAATACTTCTTGTTTTTAAATATTTTTAAATAGATGCTTATAGTAGTTAAATGTTGTGTAAATAACGTAGGGAAATTATGTAATTAAGCGCTTTAGAATATTCTATAGTTTTAGCGCGGTACAAATTAATAAATTATTATTATTATTATTGTTCGAGTCACGGATATGTGACTTTCCTAAAACATTGCTATTGTTTAGTTGGGTAAAAATACAATACACACGTGACGGCGAAGGACCAGATTTATGAATAAACGTTTACCACCATAGATAATGAGTTATATTGTTATTCTAATGAGTTTCACAACAATCTCCACTTGACAGGCTATGCCCAAATAATACCTGGGTTTCCGGTTTCTCGACCCTACAGTATACCTGGATGGCTTTTGGGCATCAAAATCACCAACCCTCATTTTTTTATCTGAAGTTTGCAAAGAGTTTGGAGCAATGTACCCACGGGGTTTTGTACTACTGTATGTACAGTACAGTAGCTATATAAAGTATAACCTATTTCAAAGTTGACAATTAGCAATATTTAACCAATGTTTGTGCCATCTGTTCTGCTGTAATTGACGTAGAATTATATCGTTTTGATGCAATGAAAAATATTACAAAATACAAAATACCAAAATACCCCTACCAAACCTGAGTTTTTGCAAAAAGAAATAGGAAACCCAGGTATTTTTTGGCTTTGGCATACACTTGGAAGGTGTATACTGATCACTTTTGGTAGAACTCGAGATCCGGATTGTTATAATACCACCAGTAACGGCTTTCCAATAGACCTTTCCCCTTATGAGTGAAATTTTGATCTAGACAAGCCTGGACAAAAATTTCATCACAGCTTGATAGAGCATCACAGAATTAGTAATACTCCGAAGTTTCGTTGCGAACTGTTGTAAAATGCGGATAATATAGCCTTGCGAAGTTTGCCGTTTTTCAGTCATTTTGTATTACAAATGGGAAATTGGTAATCAATTTGATCATCTGATTACCAATTTGCCGTTTGTAATGCAAAATGACCGAAAAACGGCAAACTTCGCAGGGCTATATTATCCGCATTTTACAACATTTCGCAACGAAACTTCGGAATATTACTAATTTTGTGATCCTCTTTCAAGTTGTGATGAAATTTTTGTCTAGATAAAAATTTCACTCAAAAGGTCTATTGTTTTTGTCACATGTTGTCACCGAAAGAGATTTCTGAACTAACCGTATTTGTTCTTCATTAATATTTAGAAGCATGTTTAGGACGAATTCTACAGAGACAGCATGCAGTGCTATAGCTATGTAATTTTACTTGTGACTACTTGCGCAAGCAAATTCCCGCAGTGTGCGGTGACATTTTGAGTTTTTCTTCAAGCATGTCATCGGCGCCGAATATTAATTCAACATGTTGAATAATTTTTGGCGTGGTCAAACTTGTTATCAATACTCGCCGCAATTTTGATTTGAAAGACGCAAGCAATACGCATGCGTATTCGCATAATATTGTAAGCTGTTTGCTTACTGTATCTTGTGCACACACTTGGCGGAAATCGCCACTCGTTCCAAAAAATATTCAACATGGAATTCAATATTCGGCACTGATGACACGCGTGATGAAAAACACACAAAACATTACCATGTGGTAATGTTTTGGGTGTTTTTCATCACGCGTGTCATCGGTGCCGAATATTGAATTCCATGTTGAATATTTTTTGGAACGAGTGACGATTTCCGCAGGGGGGGGGGGGGTTGCTTATGGAATTGGTCACAAATGAAATTTTGCTAACCACATAGCTCTATAGTGTGCGCCGGGCGGTAGGAATTACTTCCAAACACGCCTTGTACAATTTACCACCCCAACTGAATACTTACCGTTCATTTCTCTCATTGCTTTGATAAAGTCACTTGATTCCTTGAAACTGACAAATCCATAACCTTTGGTTTTATTCGTTTTCCTTTCTCTCACAACTTTTGCTTTCTGAAATGATGGATACTTGGCAAAAGCTCGTGTCAGACCTTCATCTGTCACTTCATTTCCAAGGTCACCAACAAATATCCTGAAATCATCTAGGAAGAAAATTATTTAAATTTTAGGGAACAAAGCCTTAAATGTATAAAATCAATCCGAGTTCCAAAGATAACATGCATATACTGCATGGCAGTTCGTAACATTTTGCTGTTAGGTGCATACTGTAGTTGTCAGCCTGAAAAGGATTGGAAGATAAGAAGGCCCTTTTCATATACTGTATTAGTTCTACAACGTTATCAAAGCTTATTCCCCAAGTTTAGCAATTTTGTTAATAACTTACTGGGATCCCACTCAGCTAGTGAGTTATCTTCCCAAACCACACCCCCGGCAACTCTGACAAACTTTTTGTCTTTCTTTTTTGCTTTTCCTCCACCAGGATCTTGTTTTCCATAGGCAGACTCCCATTCCTTCTTCTGTTCTGGAGTAATACCAATATGTTCTGCTGGTGCCTTCACTCCTGTTGGCAATTGCATTGGTACCATAGGGACCATACCTGGCATTACATTCTGCTGCATGCCTGGGTGAAACTGTGCTGGTATTTGTGGGGGCATTGGTGGCATAGGGAATGGTACCTGTTGTACAGGAAACTGTTGAGAGGGAGGTTGATGGTATGTCATGTTGTCCATAGGCATGTTCTGTCCAGTCATTTCAGGATTCATATTATGCACAGGAGGTATGCCCCCATGTGGGACACCTACAGGAGGACCATGTCTAGGAGGCATGCCCTCACCCCTAGGATGGCCCATTGGATGGATGCCCCCTTGAGGCATTCCCCCAGGAGCACGGTCACTGGCAGGATGGCCCCTAGGAGGTACACCCCCAGGTGGATAGCCCTGCATATGTGGAGGTTCTTGGCTATGAAAGTGACCAAAGTTATTTGAACGAGGATCCTGAGGTCCTGTGCCATGTACATGATGGATAGTTTGTGAAGCCTGTCGAAATGTGTTTGTTCCAATTATAGGACGATCTATTGTATGTCCAGAAATCTCTTCTTCAAATCTAACAAAATAAAATAATTTAATAAACTCAAGCATTGGACCATGCATGTTCCAGATTTCTAACATTATACAGTTGAACCGCTATTATACAGTTGAACCCTTGGGGCCCGGCTTTTTGGCCGCTTAATAGAGGTGCCCGCTTAGTAGAGGTACCCCAAAATTCGACTTTGGTGTTATCAAATTTCATTTTATTAATTAAAGAACAAAAATGAGCAATGCAAGGTAAGCAGTGAACAGAGACCATGATGATGGTTTGGAAATTCCTTGCGAATGTCAGTAAACGAGAGATGCATTTTCAATCAGTTGGTAGAAGTCCAAAGTATGGTATGCAGTATAAGGGGATTTTACGTGAATAAAGATATCTTTTTATGCAACACGCAATAAAGAAAATGCGTATATAGGCGGGTGAAACAATCTGATTTCAATTTTCGTTTAAAGTTGCATGTTATTTTATTCATGTGTTACAGGTAAACTACGTGAAGCGTTCCTCTTTTGAGTTCCTAAGTTGATTGCAATTTTCATCATTACCTTAGCAAATTTGCAAAACTCCCTTGCAAATCCCTTGAGGGAATTTGCAATGTTCTTAAGAGCAAAATAAATTTTCCTCAGTTCCTGTTAGAAGTTCTTAACTTCCTGTTACAAGTTCCTAACTTCCTGTTCTGTTCTGTGCGTTGCAATTGGCCAACAAAAATAATCCACCAATGAAAACGCTCAGAACAGAACAGGAAGTTAGGAAATTAAAACAGGAAGTTAGGAAAATTTGAAAGGAACTTTCTTTGCGTTGGAATATTGCAACGGCCGCCAGGAAAATTGCAAATTCCCTCAAGGGATTTGCGAAGGGTTTTTCAAATTTGCAAATCTAATTTTGAAAATTCCGAATGAGTTAGGGACTCAAAAGAGGAACGCTTCACGTAGTTTACCTGTAAAGGTCATGTAAAGTCCGTAATGTAAACAAACGCTTTGTTTACATTTTCAACTCAGCGCTACAGTTGTAAAATATGATTAGATATATATTATACTGAATTTTTAACACTCTTCCGGTTCGCTATGCTTGTAAATGAATGCAGACTAGAGATTCAATTCAAGAAAGTTCGGAAGTTGCGAAATATTAACAACATTCCAAAGGTTTCTCCCCCACTGATGGAATGTGTTGATACGCAGAATATATGCGCAGAACGGACTTTACAGCATCTTTAAAAATTATGGTTAAGATGAGTGTGTGACCCAAAATACATTGGGGTCAGCATATTTTTGTATCAAAAGCAATAGCAATGCGCTTGCAGAATTTTCAAAGCCACAAATCAGATTGGAGCAAATAATTAAACTTTATAGTAACTTCAAATCATTCAACATAATTTTTCCATTACCAAAAGTTCATTGAAATATGAAATAATTTTTCATAATTTAGTCTGCCAGAGTTTTCGCGGGAGTTTTCCAAAACTCTGGCGCACTGCTCTACTCTAACCGCAAGCACAATGCATCACCTGAATATATATCTACATGAACTGTTCCTGGTTAGGTCTAATAAATGTAAAAAGTTTAAACTTGAAATTTCCATCTAAAAAATCCTTCAACAAATTATTTATAGTTCAAATATGATCTGTAGATATTTTCAAGAGTGAGATGCCCAAAATCCTGGTTTAAAACCTTTATATACCTTGACATTTCATCTTCGAGTTCTTGATGTGTCTGTACATCTTCTGAACGGTTATGTTGCATGTTCATCTTGGAAAAATTGTTTAAAATTTGCTTCAAATGTCACTTTATAAATTAATTCGGCACATGTGAAAGAAAATTGGAAGAACTTCAAGTCTTCAAATCAAGAATAATTGAATCCGTCGGTCTTTTTTGCCAGCAGTCTTAACGCTCTGTATCAGAGACTACTTCATCTTGCACAGATATTTTGGATCCTTGCACGACTATTCTTAGTTATCCATGCAAGATCGCCGATGAATAAGAAGGAGTAAAAGTGGTAAAATGTTGATACTAAAGGATTTAGAAAATAAAAATAATCCGATTTTCACGAAAATGTGCAATTATTTTGTTACCCATGCAACTCTACGTTGACATTCTGACTTCTATGTCCTAAATTGCTTTTCAATTTTCATCTATTGAACGCGGAATACGCGATTAAAGACAATATTTACAATATATTATTATTTTACAATGGTATTTAGTTTATTATTAGAATTATGGATACTTTGGGGGTAATATGGGATTGGTCAAAAGGTTAAATGAAGTTAAATCTGATCATGCACAGAGGTCATGCATAAATTATTTTAAAAAGTTTTGAAGAGCTTTGAGTATGTTTACTTTTGTATAGCCGACTATGTTTTTATTTTGAGTTGGATATTAGAGTATGTTTGTGATTGTAAAGTACGGAGGTATGTCATGCATCTTTTTAAATGTATCTTGTTTATATCTATAGAACTTCTGACAATGTTTTATAAAATATGATACCGGTATATTCTATATATTTAAAACTAGATGTTGTTGTCCTACCTTAGTAACGGCTGCCATACTTGTACATAATATTACACAAACATTATAATTGTTATATATGTAGTAAATGTTTGTTTCAAATGAGGTTACATAGTAACCAAGCTTATCATAGGAACCCTGCACAGATTGAGCCACGACTTGTACCCTCAAGACATCAGATCTAGTCTTATAGAGATCTGCATGTCAGTGACATAGCGGGCCATTCCATTTAATGTACACCCCTGAATCCTATGGACAAGTTCAATAAAATTTGAACCCCTAAGAAAAAAAGATCAAAGTGCGACACACACACACCCCAGAAATTAAGAAATTTTTGCCTTAACCCTCAGAAAAACGCAAAGTTCAAAGGATGCCGATGCACGTACATAACCCCTCAGAAACGGCTTTTTCAAACCCCCTCAGAAATTCTTGTCCATAGGTGGGGGGTGTATATTAAATGTAATGGCCCATATATTGCCAAGGGGGCTCACAGCTAGGTCATATTAGCCAATTCACCTATAAGATCTTATCAACAAGATCCTACAAAATCCTAGTAGGGCCTGTATGATCTTATCGGATACTACTGGGATCTTGACAAGTTCCTAAAAGATCTTGCCAAGATCTTATTTGATCCTAGAACTACGATCCTATAAGATCTTAATTTCTAAGATACTATAGGTTCTTAATAAGATCTTATACCGGTACTATGGACCATTTACGATGCTAGTAATATCTTACTAACATCTTAGAAGATATATGTTTAATTGTGATGTTGCTCTGACCTGGCAAGCTGAAAAGCTTACTTGACTATGCATGGTGGGAATCGAACCCGCTAGTTCTGAAATATCACCCACTCCAACCGATTTGACCTTGTACTAACAGTAGCTCAGTTGGTGGAGCATTGGACTAGCAAAAACCAAAGGTTGTGGGGTTGATTCTCACTGTGGTCAAGAAAATATTTCAGCTTGCCCAGTGTCGACATGCACACACGTACGCAGGGCCATGGCACCAGAGTGAGAGAAAATAGCCTGGTACGAGGTTGCTGATGCAGCTAGGATTTATACTCTTGGTTAAACAATCTTGTATCAAGAAATATGATATGGGCCTGGGGAAAATGCCTCTCGGTGCGGCACTGGGTGTAACATGTGTTTCTGACATGACTCACAGCTTCACGCCTTCAACTGAATTAATCTAATAATCTGACTTGAAGTTCATAGACAGTGTAATTCAGATAAAATTATGATTTTGTTATGTTAGTGACACAACAACAGTTATTTGCCAGGCCAGGTAATAATACACTTTGGCATTGTTTCTGATGGATGCAAATGAGTGGACTTGCACACAAAAGTATTTGGGTCACTTTTCAGAAATAAACAATTCTTAATCTTTTGCATGTCTCTCATTCAATCACATTTGCCAGCTGTAGGAGAAAAATTGCTGAGAGAATTGCTAGTGTGAACCAGGCATAACAATATATGCCTATCAAATCATGTCAAAATGGACTACGTCCATCCACATGTTCGGTGCAGATTAAACATTCTTTTATTGGCTATCTTTAAAAACAGGAACGGGGAATCTGGGAACGGAACGGGGAATGGCACGTGGGAATGCGAAAAACAGGAACGCGAAAAGCCGGAATGTTTAAAAACCGGAACGCGAAAAGCCGGAATATTTAAAAACAGGAACGTGAAAAGCCGGAATCTTTAAAAACAGGAACGCGAAAAGCCAGAATCTTTAAAAACAGGAACGCGAAAAGCCAGAATCTTTAAAAACAGGAACGCGAAAAGTATGATTTTATAGTGTGAGATATTAGTGAAGTCAGTCTGAATTAGTGAATAAATATTATATATCTTAAAAATTTCGATTTCCCAATCCTCGGTAACCTGAAATTCGGGCCCTAATACTCGGGTAATGTAGTGCTTTGTTGCCTTTAAATGGAAAAAGCGCAAAAATCTTTACAATCTAGTTGAATTTCTGGCAATCGTATTGTTATGTTTTGCGCAAAATGGTTCCTAAATATAGGGTAATGTAGTGCTTTGTTGCCTTTAAATGGAAAAAGCGCAAAAATCTTTACAATCTAGTTGAATTTCTGGCAATCGTATTGTTATGTTTTGCGCAAAATGGTTCCTAAATATAGGGTAATGTAGTGCTTTGTTGCCTTTAAATGGAAAAAGCGCAAAAATCTTTACAATCTAGTTGAATTTCTGGCAATCGTATTGTTATGTTTTGCGCAAAATGGTTCCTAAATATAGGGTAATGTAGTGCTTTGTTGCCTTTAAATGGAAAAAGCGCAAAAATCTTTACAATCTAGTTGAATTTCTGGCAATCGTATTGTTATGTTTTGCGCAAAATGGTTCCTAAATATAGGGTAATGTAGTGCTTTGTTGCCTTTAAATGGAAAAAGCGCAAAAATCTTTACAATCTAGTTGAATTTCTGGCAATCGTATTGTTATGTTTTGCGCAAAATGGTTCCTAAATATAGGGTAATGTAGTGCTTTGTTGCCTTTAAATGGAAAAAGCGCAAAAATCTTTACAATCTAGTTGAATTTCTGGCAATCGTATTGTTATGTTTTGCGCAAAATGGTTCCTAAATATAGGGTAATGTAGTGCTTTGTTGCCTTTAAATGGAAAAAGCGCAAAAATCTTTACAATCTAGTTGAATTTCTGGCAATCGTATTGTTATGTTTTGCGCAAAATGGTTCCTAAATATAGGGTAATGTAGTGCTTTGTTGCCTTTAAATGGAAAAAGCGCAAAAATCTTTACAATCTAGTTGAATTTCTG